TAAGAATTACTTAGCCTAAGCTTAAACTGAGAGGATTGTTAGAAGCTTTAGTTTGAGGTAACTAGGTTAAGATTTACTTAGCCTAAGCTTAAACTGAAAGGATTGTTAGAAGCACATATTTATTGTGTTTTAGTATTGCTTATCATTCGAATAAGTTTGATCCCATGTTACTATTCGACATAGTGTTCCTTTTATGACTTGTAGGAGACATGGTTCACACCATTCACACCAGGTCTATCAGACGCGGACGCGGGCGCGGATACGGAACACGTAGGACACCACACGGGCTAGGACCAAATAGGGATCCATTGACAGTCACCGCCCCAGCACCAGACATGTTTCCCGCTCCCGGTCTAGAAGCAATAGTCTGGCCCACACTGGTGAGGTGTCATCGCAAGAGCCCATCAGGAGAAGGACCACACCCGAGCCTTCGGTGGACTACACGCCCCGCACCCCTACACGTGAGGACATGATGGAGACTATAGAGGCCTTGAGGGGCGAGAACACAAGACTAAGGGAAAGTTTGACCCGAACCTTAGATGGCAATACTAGACTGAATGAATGGCTGAACAATCTTTAGTGGGCACATGTCGAACAAGGAGGGGCCCTAAACGAGCTAATTGAAGAGAATGCACATTTGTCGGAACAGCGTCATGCACTGATTTGGGACAAAGTTGTACTTGAGCAGGAGCGAAGAATTGCTGCTCGTCCAGTAGGCGCTAGGTTCAGAGACAGAGTTCACTTCTATAAGAGGATGACCATAGACTATGCCGGTGTAGTGAGGGGGTATTTCTCCGACTGGGTCCAATGCATCAAAAACGGCCCAAAGGCTAGTGTGTTGTGGCACTCCAGGCCGTCCACAACTTTTGAGGAATGGTTGAGGGACCTTTATCTCCCTTATTACCCCGCGGATCAGTTTTAGACATGGAAGCCTTTTGAAGGAGGGAAGATCTTTTGGATATGTGAATTATTTGTGCGTGACTAGATAGTTGAGCGAATTTTTTTTTTCATCTACTCCAGTGCTTCAATAGATTTTTGAGCATTCACATGATTTAGAGATATGTTTAGAATGATGTAGTATCCCATCTTTTGTAAATAAATGGGATTATGTAATGTCTCTTCCCAGGATTGTACATTGACGTGAAATATATATATATATATATATATATATATATCTTTTTGAGCATTATGAGATTCTCGACGTGAATTCCTTATTATGTATTTCGCTTATATATATAGTGATTATATATATATATATATATATGTAATGGGTTATATTGACTTTAGAACCTTACTAAAACAATAATACCCTATATTGTCAGTATGGTTTCTCGTGGATCAACAAGGAACGCCCTCAATGGGGGAGGTATTAATGGCATAGACCCACCAACAGTTCGAGGACGGACGCGAGCCCAAAGTCGAGGTCGTGGAAGTGTCCGAACCGCTAGCTCTAGTATGACTCCATCCGCGCAGGATAATTTAGCTATCGGTAGGAGTCAAGGAGACAAGGAAGGGGAAAATCCCCTCACGAAGGTGATGATAGCTGAGCAAATGGCACAAGTCCTCCAGGATACATTGCCAAATATGCTTAAAGAAATGTTGGGTGATAGAGTTAAAGACAACGAAAATGGAGAGAAGGAAAGTGCTCGACATGAGAACACTCAAGCCACTGGAAGGGTGGAAGTATCTAGTAAAGAGAAGGCGGAGTCGCCCATCAACGGAAGAACGGAATTGACAACAAAGGAGAGAGGATGTAGTTTTAAAACATTCAAGGGCACCGGGCCGAAGGAATTTAAGGGAAAAGAGGGCCCAGTTGGCCTGATGAACTGGGTAACCAAGATGCAGAGTAGCTTCAAGATTTATAGATGCGCGAAAGATCAAAAAGTGACCTATGCTGCTACAACCTTTGTGGACTATGCATTGCATTGGTGGGAGTCTGAGTGTGCAATCAGAGGTGATGAGGGCATTGCTGCCATGACATCGGAGCAAATGAAAAAGATGATGATGGATACGTACTGCACACAATCGAAAGTGAACAACCTAGAATCAGAATTTTTGAGGTTAAAGCAAGGCTCGATGTCGGTTCAAGAATATGTTAACGACTTTCTTGAAAAAGCAAGATTCGCCAGTTACCAGGTGGCTACCGAGGAGATGAAGATAGGTCGTTTCAAAGACGGCTTAAGAATCGAAATCAAACGGTACGTAGACATGACTAAGCCAACCACTTTTGTCCAAGTCGTAGAGATGGCGAAGGTAGCAGAGGAGAACAACGCTAGGGACAACTATGATAGAAGGGATGCAAAGAGAAGATGGGAAGGGTCGAACAAGTCTGACAAGAAACCAAAATGGACTCCGTCTATGGCAAAAACATGAAGCGAGGGACTCACTATTGCCCAATGTAACAAATACAACAAGAGACATAGGGGAGAGTGCAGAGCGGGGAGCCTGACGTGCTACAAATGTGACAAGCCTGGGTACACCGCGCGAGAGTGCCCAGACGGAAAAACTTGTTACGAATGTGGGGCTACGGGACATATACGACCAGACTGCCCAAAACGTCGAAATAGTGTGACGCCCCACGAGAAGACAGTGAATAACGGACTTGGAAGGAGACCGAAAAATAGGAAGGAGCTACCTAAGGAACATGGCCGAGCTTACAACATGACCTTGGAGGAGGCCAAGGAAACGCCCGATGTCGTATCCGGTATGTTCCCTATCAACAATGTGTACGCACATGTATTATTTGATTCGGGTGCAAATGGTAGTTTTGTGTCTACCATCTTCTGCCACTATCTGAATAGCAGTGCCTGTAGGCTAGACAAAACCTACACTGTAGAAACAGCCGACGGTAGTCAGTGTAATGTAGACGAAGTATTTGATAAATGCACAATTGTTATAGATGGGAAGGATTTCCCCGTTAGGGTTATGCTAATATGCTTAGGAGGCTTTGACGTAGTCTTGGGGATGGATTGGCTGTCCAACAATCATGCGCAAATAGTGTGCAATACAAATATGATCAAGATTCAAACTCCGGAAGGAGAAACAATTCATGTTTACAGTGATCGAAAGAAGTGTTGCGTAGGGTTGATCAATGCAATTAAGGTGAATAGGTGTCTACGGAAGGGATGTGTGGCTTACTTGGCATATGCCATCGACGCCAAGCTCAAAAAAAAGATAATACAAGATGTTCCAGTGGTGAGGGACTACCCAGAAGTATTTCCGGATGAATTACCGGGAATACCACCGGAACGTCAGGTAGAGTTCCGAATCGATTTGGTACCAGGTGCGGTACCAATCGCAAGGGCGCCTTATCGTTTAGCCCCAACATAAATGCAAGAGCTGATGAAG